GAGCTAGAGGAGGAATATGAGTTTGAGTTGGAAGAGGAATATGAGTTTGAGTTGGAAGAGGAATATGAGTTTGAGTTGGAAGAGGAATATGAGTTTGAGTTGGAAGAGGAATATGAGTTTGAGTTGGAAGAGGAATACGAGCATCAGGTGAAATAGGAAGAGCTGAAGGAAGAGGGCTATGGGCTGAAGGATGAGTAAAAGAAGGTGAAAAGGTGTAGGCCTGAGCTTGAGGTGGAGTAGGAGAGGCTTGAATAGAATCTTTATCATGCAATTTGACGATGGGGCATTGCCCATAAAATTTTACTTTCTTTAAAAATTCCATTGCTGTTGTTGCACCTTCTAGTGATGAAAAATTGACATAAGCATGTCCCTTATTAACTTTAAGACTTTGATAATCTGTATAGCTACGACAAACATCTTCCATTTCTTCCTGAGTTACATTCAGTGAGAGATTTGTCACTTTCAGAGTGTGTTGAACATTATCTTTCCATTTACATACTACTTTAACAGTGCAGCCAAAAACTTCTTTACCATTAGTATGCCTCATTGCCCTTTGAGCATCAGTTTCAGTTTCATAATTGATTAAAGCATAGGATTCATTCGTGCTGGGCATGACTCGGAGATTAGAAATGGATCCAAACTCTTTGTAATATTCATACACTTCCCTTTCTTTGGTATCAAGAGGAAGATGGTTTACCTTGACGGTGTACTGTCTCCCTGTGGCTGTGACCGTGGGTTTAGTCCTCTGTTTAGTCTCGGGTTGTAGCCTGGAGAATGGTTTGGCTGCCGAGACTACCCTAGTGCTCGTTGTAGGATGAGCACTGCGTCTAGTTCTGTCACTTCTGTGAGATCTGTAACCGCTCATCTTCACAGGGAATCACCAACCTGACCAAGAGTAGTATAATATTATCTTATCTCGAGTGTATTATCTGACTAATCGCATTTCCAAATTCCAACCCCCAATTTTCCCCCGAGTCATGCTATGAATATTGTGTACTCTGAGTTATACCTCAGTTTACCCTCAGTACTGCTATTTACTCCCTTTTCTAATCTCTGCTTCTCTCTATTAATGTGTACTGTAAATTTCTGAAATAAAATAAATAAAATAAATAAATAATGGTATTAACCACGTGACATAACGTGTTCTTATCACGTGAGTACAATTTGTGGAAACTGAGCTTAAAATAAAAGTTAGCAAACGAATTGTGAAATCATAGGAAGATATTGGATGGTATGTTTGCTGCCTGTGGTGTTTCTGGTGATAAATTCAAACCAATCTGTCCTGCCATTGATAAATTGGATAAGGTACGCTTGAATATAGCTATAGTAATTTTGAATGGGTAAAACTGTAAATTTTTGATGATTAATCACTTAAAAATTTAGACATAAGGACTCATCTTATGCCGTATAGCAGGTAAATTTGGAGGAGATAAATTTTGGTGAATTGCTAAATTTTGGTAATTGGCAGGTTTTAATTTTGGCGAATTTGTAGCCATGTGCCCTTGAGCATGCGTACAATAGCTCAAAATGGCGGGGTTTTATTTTGGTGAATGGCTATCAAACGCCAAATTTGCCAAATTTAATCCCCTCCAAAATTACCTGCTATATGGTATTAATTTGTTTATTTTACGTTTAATGTATTTTGAGACTCCATGGGAAGAGGTTTATTTAGAAATGAATAAAAAGAAAGGTCTTTCTTTTGAAGTGACTGACAGGATTGGTGAATATGTCAAGCTCTATAAATTGATAAATTGATCAATATTATTAATGGACTACTGAAATTATTAATGGACTAATGTGAATCTGTGGTACAATGGGGATATTAGATAAAGTGAGGAAGAGTTAGAGATTGAAGTAATTGTACATGTAAC